TATGCATTTTGCATTGAGTGTGTGTGTGTTTTTGTGTGGCCGTTGTTGTGATAACAACTCACGCGATTATCAATTTGACACCCAAACATTGTGTTGTTCGTTGGCCGCTGGTCGTCGAGTTGCCTGAGTGAATGACTGCGAATATATTCGCAACTGGATGGCTGATCACGACATCGGGCCAACAACCACAAAAAAAAACACCAGCACCAACACAACAGAAAAGCTGTTGGCGTGTTGACTACCGCAGAATAGCAGCAGCAGCAGCAGCAGCAGCAGCAGCAACAACAACAACAACAACAACGAAAGGAGTGACAGTGGGGATTAGGCAAATTTTGTGCAGTCAGTTTGTAGAGCCGACCCTTCTGGCATGCTAACAGCCCGAGCTAATATAGCAGTTATACACTAACCAACAATTTTAAAGGCTTAAAGGGTCACTCATTCAGCTGCAATGTACGAAAATACGCCTGAGCATTGCAGTCGAGTGCAACAGACTGCGTAATGCTCGTTAACAGTGCAGTAAAACGTTGAAAGACTTTAATTATCGATTCTATGGAAGGTAATTGTGCTGTATACTCATACTCATAGTTGCATAGAGTTCAGTGCATAGTTCATAGAGTTCAGCTTTAGAAATTAGTGACTGCAGTATAACATATTATTATATACTCCGATTTCCATAAACTTTTCCTACATAGCTGCATCAGGAAAATATTCCTAATAGCAGGTCTCTAGGTCCTCATACGGACAGGCGTATGGCAGGATGGATGTACTTCATAGCCGTGACTGAATGTATAAATAACATTTTATTTTTATTTATAAAAATTCATTTGGAAACCTTTTTATTTGAGCTCTCTAGAGCACAATGTTCGAATTGCTCAGAATATTTTATTCTTTGATTTAAGCTATTAATTTTATGATATCATTTCGTCATTTCAATTTGTTCTACAAATATGTATGTGTCTACATACATAATGTTCGCACATTTTTCCAATTATTATACACAATTTATGTGCCCATTTGCTTGATTATTTTATTTTTAAATATACTTATATGTATGTATGTTTATGTACGTATACTCGTACATGCATATATTGATAACTTATAAAAGAAATAAATACTCACGGTGATTTTTGTCCAAACAGCATTATACAAATTATTATAATTTGCTTAATACTTTTTTAATTTTAATCACACTGCTAATTTCAACTGATGGATGCGGAAGAGCTCAAGATATTTCCAAAAAATAGATAAATAAATAATACATTTGTTCAGTGGTGTGAAACATGCAAAACTGTTTTCAAAAATACATGTATATTTCTTCATAGATCACAATTCAATTTCATTTGGAATTATATTTAAGCTACTTCAATTCCAGTTCATTTATTTATGTGGACGTCATTTCGAAATGCTGCTCCGCCAGCACACACACACATCGACAACTTGTACTTATCTGCATAATTTGTTGAAGAGATTTGTTAAAGGCATTTTCAACGCTTCCAAAAGAAAATGTACCAAGCGACAGCTACACCAGCAACAACAACAACAAGCATAGCTGGCTTAATTATGCTGTCACAGAGGCCAGAAGATAAAGAAAATCGACAACAACAACACAAAGACGTCTTTCGTCTCTCAGCAAGAGGCGAGATATGAGGCCGAAGTTTACAAGTACTACAAAATTCGAATATATATTTCATCGCTTAATTCCGTATGACACGACATGCTGACGGAGGGGCGAGTAATCTATTAAATGGAGCAATCTTCGAGTGGCATTCAAATGCATTTTTCAACAACTACATCAACTTGTGGGCAACACTGCCCAGGTGCCTGACACACAACCACAAATACACACACACACACACACACACACACACACAGACTTGGCTCCTCCTGCTCTGGCGGCTTTAGTGTTGAGTAATGAACGAAATGCAAAATATTTGAAAAATAATTTATAGGCGTTGCCTTTGCCGCTGGCTATGAATGTCAATTCGAATTGAAATCATTTATTTAACTCATGTCTATGTGTGTGTGTGTGTGTGTGTGTGTGTACGTATGTATGTGAATGTGGAGCACTCGGCGCTCAGTTGGAAATTCGCTTTCGAATAATTGAAAATTGAGAGGCTGGCAATAAAGGATTAAGCTTGGACAAGCAATTTGCGCAGGCGCTTTCCACTGATGTCATTTATTGTGTTAAGAAAAAATAAATGTAAAAATGCATAAAGGGCAGCAAAAAATAAAACAAAAGGCAGCCATGCTGTGGCCAACCGCAGAGTTATTATTTAAATGTGCATTACGCATACACACACACACACACACATGCACTCACACATTCAGACACATTAAATTAACACGCAGATGCCTGTCGTTAAAAAAATCGACAGTTGGCTGGCGGTATTCCCAGTGTCAGCCGTAGGACCTCTCTCTCCCTCTCTCTCTCCGTCCCTCATACGACATGTTGTCATCGTCATCAACCCTTTTCGTGGTGTCCTGGCTGCGGCGGCGTCATAATTAATAAGAGAAATCCCTTTTCAATTTGACGGAGTGCATTTGTCATTGCATTTAATTTGCGGAGTACGCGGCCAAAGACGAAAAACAGAGGATGTCCGGAAGTTCTCGTTGTCCTCGAGTGCGGTTGGTCCCCGGCCGGGCCGCGGCTGCATCAGCCAGCGTCTGGTGTCAAGTAGGGGCTGTCCTCTCCTGTAACCGTTTTGCCGTTCACACGAAACATATTTAAATACATAGCGCTTCAGTAGTCACCGAAATTAACAGTCGCGCCATAGAAGGATAGAAGGAGAATGTAACTAAGACAAAGACAGCGACAGAGAGCCGAGAGAGGGATACAGCAGCAGGCAAAAGAGTTAAGAATGGCGTTAATTGATTTTAATGTTTTTTTCTTTCTCTTTTATTGTATTTATTTATTTAAGTTATGGCTATTCGCATGAAAGGCTGTGGAGGAATGAAGCCTGTTAGTTTTTAAAAGAAATTCTGTAAGCAAAAATATTATGCCGTATTATGCACAGATGTTTTTGCTTTAACGTTCCCAAATGGTGTTTTATATACTCGTAGGAAAATAAATAATTTTATGAATAGTTCAATGCATATTTGTATGCATATATTAAAAAAATGAAATCGTTGCTGCATGCCAGGCTGATTTATAATAAAATTTGAATAAATGAAATTTGTATTTCTGTAACCTGTTAAATGATCAATTTACCGCAGCTACATTAAACAAAAATTCAATCATTAATTAACAAAATCAAAATCAAGAACAAATAAATGAAAATAGGAAATATAATATTTAAGAAAAACAAATTACAAATATTTATTTAAAACATTCAATTTATTATATCATGTTTCCACATAATAAATTTGCAACTAAAATGCCAATCGATGACAGAGTTTGAATCGAAAAATTGGGAACAAAATAAAACTGAAATTATATTCAAACGAGTAAATTGATATTTCATTCTTTTTTCACAATTAATCAATATAGTATTGCCATATATACACAATACAATACAAAAAGATTATTGAAATATATTTCGGTTGGAATACTTTTTATTTTATTTCAAAGTACAGCATTTGTGAAAATATTCAAAGCTTAAGAATTAATTCACCCTTATATATTTTACCGTTTAGACAGTCGAGATATGATTGGCCAGCTCCCCGAATGCGAATTGCTGGCATTGTAATTGCTTACTTCAGCTTTTCGAGGCTGTTTTCTAATATTCCAATATTCTAATTTATAAATACATTTATCGCAGTATAGCTTCACATTAAATAATTAATTGATTATAAATTATTGAATGCATGCCAAATCAAAGATAGAGTGAACTCATTTCTTAGATATAACAGCTTATTCTCTTTGCCTAGCACTCAAAACCAGGAGGGTCGCAGGCCTTGTTTCTGTTTAATTTTGCATTAGCCCACGGGCCGTTGCAATTAGTACGTATCCCTCATTTCGATTTCGGTCAAGCACTCGCCATGTCTTTGCCGCCTACACCGAGAGCTGGTCGAAGCCATTGACGGAAGCGGATGATGCTGATGCCGATTCTGATGCTGATGCCGATGCCGATGCTGATGTTGATGCCCAGTTTTATTGACGCGTCTCCCTGGACCATATTGTTTGTATTTTAAATTGGCAGCGCGCTTAGCACATCCGGCGGCGAGCAACGAGCCGAGAGAGCGCTGCATGCGCAGATGGGGATGTGGACGAGGATGCGATTGTCGATCCAGTGTGAGTTGCACGAAACGCGCTTGCGGACCAATAATTGATTGCCTTACCGTTAGGCAGCTGCTCAAAATGCGCAAGTGGCAGCAGGTGAGCGAGCCAATCTCCCAAACCCGACCGCCAGCCACTTTGCACAGATGAGATTTTCAATTTGACTAGGGCCGCCCGAATGTTTGCGTATTAAATTTGCATGGAAATCTGTCTATATTGACCGAGAATGGCCAATGCAAATGTTTGCCGGGCCAAATGAATGGCCGAGAATGAAGAGACAGCAGCAATTGCTGCTGCTGCTGCTTCTGGTGCTGCTGGTGCTGCTGGTGCTGTTGATGTTGCTGTTGGTCAGTCAACGGCCAGGGGGCATTGCACCCGACGATGGCGTCGGCGTCGGCGTTGCCGTTGCGATTCAATGATGGCTCTTTGGGCATTTTTAATACGCGCTTCCATTTGCGTTTGCCAAATGTTATCAGTGGAACGACAGCGGCTTGCGCCACAGCAACAGCAACATCTACAGCAGAAGCAACAGAAGCAAGCCCAACGCCAAGTGCTGTGCGCCCAGTCCCATGTCCCAGTCCCAGTTCCAATCCCAGTGTCAGTGCCAGTCCCAGACGCAGTCCAATGCCCCCATTGGTCCACAGCGATTGTTGTTATCGATGGGCCTACGCTATCAGCTGGGTACAGTTGCGCCCAATGCCCATGACTGTGATGTAGTCGGAGTCAGACTCGTGTCCGTAATTGTGACTGTGGCTGCGACTATGACTGTGACTGTGATTGTGACTGTGACTGTGCTCTGCACTTAGACTGAATGCAAAAACAAACATTTTACTTGAGTAACATTTGTTGTACGCTCAACTCTTCTCTTTTTTCTCGCTGCACAAATAGTCGGACAGTTGATAAAATGCCAGGGCAGCCTGCTGGATGGACGTGTCTGGTTAGATGTGGACACATATGCCCAGTGGCCCGTGGCCAGTGGACCATGGGCAGTGCAATGCCACCATGTCATCAAGCATCAGACTGTGCACAAACAGTTTCAAATTAATTATTCGCAAGTGTTAATTTAAATGAAGTCATTAAGACGCACTGACTGGCCGGGCAGAAGGCAAATTTGGCCAATTGATGGCTCGCTGATTGAGTCAGCCTTGGCCTTAGCTTCAATCAATGACATTCAATATGACATGCGACGTATACTCAAACTATACTTTTACATTTATTTGATATAACTAAGCATGCCGAAGAATTCAACCTACAAAATTGGAGAGTGTTCATTTAGATTCCAGTTACACCCGCACACTGCACTTACACTTTTCACAACTCTCTATATTTGTTAAGTTCATACGGTTTTGTACGAGTTGACAGACATTGATAAGGAAAAATTAGAAATTGATTAACAATGTTAATATCACGCTTGCGTAACGAGCTGATAAACTATTGTTCGACTGAGCTGAAGAGCTGGACACGTGAGACACGCCGCCTGGAGAGCTTGGGGCGTGGCATAATTGGTCTTTTTGCTAAGCTGCCCATGCGTGATGCAAGTGTCTCAATGGCTCAACGAATGCATGTAATTTATATCTCTATCTATTCGCAGAACTCCCAGCCAGAGTTTGTGTGGCTCTTCGCAAGTGCTCCGGCTGATTTGTGACATTAACGAAACTTAAGTGTACTAAGTGTATCGAAACGAATACATTGACAGTTATGCCCCATACCAACTGGATGCTGGGGAAGCTTTTCAGAGGCAACGATTGACCAAGAATCGATAGGTCCCACTGCCTATGCGTAATGTGAGTGCTGCATGTGATCCATGTGAGATTAGTTCTATTTATAACTCCGCTCGCAGAACCCTCAGCTGGAATATGTGACGTGGACTTATTTACGTCCAGGGGCATAAAGTCGCGTTATGTAAATTGAGAATGTTGTTTGATAAGCACAAGCAGCCAAATATTAAATTCTCGGTTTTGATGTTACTTCCAAAAATGATAAGATTGCAGTTCCTCACGATTCGGGAAGACAAGCCTCAGTTTGTAGCTCAACCAAATGACTAAATCTATAAGCAGGCATGATGCACACTTAATTATGGATGGTAACGCTTCGAACTGCCTCATCCTAGAGGGTATTTTAGGACATGTGCGATTCAATGGCATTCAAATACATATAGATATACAAAATCTCATAAGTCATCTGAATGAATTGAATAAATATTGTTCTGTTTGCTTTTAAATTTGAATGAAATCATTGTGTCATTCACCCTTTTTCCACCCTTTTTAGCTAATTGTAGTTTAATTTATAATTTATGTGAAGTACAACTGGGACGGAGACTCCCAAATTCCATACGAGAGTATACAATAATCGGCTTGCCAAAACAACATTTTCCCGATGATTGCTCAATGTGTGGCTTAGAAGAAATGTGCGTTTTGTTTTTCTTTGTGGCTGAAGCTAATTTGCGTTATCATAGAACGTGTCTAATGATCTTTGGACTTGTTGCAACTGAATGCCATTAGAGACAATAGAAATTGCCCGGAGGTTGCACTTACTTCCTAGTTGACCCCAGAATTTGAACCCCACCACGTGCTTATCAATATCGCGGCTCATTGTTCGTGACACATTTGCCAATTGCGAGCAACACTCGCGCATTAGCGCGATATTTATTAATTTTTTATTTCTATTTATTTAAATTGATGACTTAATGGCAAACTGAAATGAATTCTTTGTTGTCACAATTGTAATCATTAAGCGAAGCCAGCAGTGGGAAGCTAATCTGAGACCAGAATGCAGCCCACATTCTGATAAGACCGTTCGATGGCTGAGCCAACAACAACAACAACAAATAATACGAACAATTGCTATAATTGAATGACGCAAACTTATTTATTGGTCAAAATGAAAACCCTTGGAAAATAACACCAGCGAAGAGATCTAAGCCCCAACAACAACAAAAAACATAAATGGAAGCCCAATGAAACCCTGTGAAACAAAACAAAACAAACAAGCGAACAATAAATCAACAATGAAATTTGTTTTCGGTAAATGCATCAAATGCAATTGGCTTAATTTTGCGTTATATTCGATATCATATTTTGTGGCAACAGCGACCAATGCCAGTACACACACATGCATGCATATAGTAATTTATTTGTGAATGGGTTATTTATGCCAAAAAGCCAACACTGCACAACATGATAGAGTCATCTAGAAATCTGCTTGGCAAATTGCAGTTAAATAAGATTTAATTCATTCTAAAGTTCTAAATCAATTAAGGTTAAACTCAAAATATTAAAACACGAAGCGATAAAATAAATAAAAGTAGATGATTAAATTATAAATAAAACGATCTTTTTTAAGCTAATATAGTACACATTGGAGAATTTAACGTTTAAAGTTATTTCTGACCGAGCACTAAAATTCCTTTCTGATATCGTCTCTCAGCGATTGCGAGTTTTGTCCACAATTTGATGCTGAGCAGTGTAATTCTCATTTCTAAATTTAACATTAAAACCGCACAATTTTGCGATGAGCAATTAAATATTGTGTATCCGCGCTTTGAGTGTGAATCGAGGTGGTGTTGGGGCTAACCATACGCAAAGCCAAATCAATTTGATGACCAAAACCAACAGCTCGAAGCCCACAGCTCACGGCGCACAGCTGGCAGAGTCCATGCAAATGCAGCAGCATAAATCAAGCAGAGCTCAGCAGCCCTGCTGCTGATTACCCCTCCTGCTCAGCCAGACCGAAAAGAGTTAACCCCCAAAAACAACAAGAGCTCAGGGCACGTTGGCGTTGACGGGCGATTGGACAACAGAAAGACTGGACTGAAGGGTGCAATTCAATTACATGTTTGTGGCAAGCCGCATTGCTCAATAATGCAGTTAATATTGACGGTCAGGCGGGTGAGGATGAGCGGGGGCGGGGCGGGGCAAAGGGAGAGCCTGGTGGGTGGGTAGTCTGGCCGGCTGGTGGGTGCCAAAATTGTAAGAGCCATGGAGTGGGGAAGTTTGACAAAGTTGATGAAATACCTCGACCTCTGTCTCAGTCTGCCTCTGTCTATCTGTCTGTATGTCTGTCTGTCCGTCTGCCACACGGTCTGCTGCATCTAATTCAATTTTCAAAACCCAAAATTCTGTTGACCAAACTGCGATGATGCGTTAGCCGGAAGGGGTTGCTTCAAGCAGGCAGCAGTGGGCGGTTCGCTCTCTCGACCAAAGTGTTTATAAGTTTTTAGCCAATGTTATTATTGTTGCCGTTGCTGTTGTTGTTGTTGTTGTTGTTGCTGCTGTTTGTGCTGCTGTGGCTGCTGCGGCTTCGCCTGTGTCCATGTTGTGGTTCGAAATGGAATTTTGTTAGCTAATTGAATTTTAGTTGCAACTCATTTGCCATGCACAAGCCAAGCCAGTTGGCCACGCCGAAGCAGCCAGGCAGGCAGAGATCAGGCAAGCAGGAGGCGGGTAGGCGGCAGCAGGCTGTGATGGGGTTTGGCTTTTGGCCATTTAATTGCTGTTTTAATTTTAACAGCAACAACAACAAGCAGTCAAGAGCTTCGCGCCAATGTTGCTGTTGTTGTTGTTCCGGCCATCGATGAAGGCAGCAGCGAAAAAACAACAACATTTAAAATCGCATAAAGTTGATTAATGCAAACCCAAAAAAACAAAAAAAAAAAAAAAAAACAAAAAGTAAAAAACACCCACGGGGCAATTGCAAAAAACCTGATACTACGTCTTGCAGATGCGGGTCTAGCAACACCAATAACAACAACAACGACATCTGAAGCAACAACAACAATAACAACGATCAAATTCAAACACAACTGTTGCTTTCTCAGTACACAGCGAATTGCTGGCATACAATCTGGTTAGATTAAAACTTTTATATGTTGGCTGGTATTTTGATCGAGCTTCTCATTGTTGGGTAGAAAGTCCTATGGACTATGCACAGAACACTTGGACTGATTGATCAGTCGGCTCTGCTTTTATTAGCTGAGATTTTGAAAACCAAATTTTTATGTTATATTATAGTTAATTAATTCATTGTTGATGAATTATTTTGTTTCAATTTATTTTTGTACCATTTTGGCTTTTAAATAAATCTATAATATGTTTAATTAAATTTAAAAGCTCATGCATGTATTTAATTAATTCCGTCTATATAAAATTATTATATTTTAATTTAGAATTTAAAGACCTGGATATAGTATGCGTAAAGTCTCTTTAGGTAAAGTTGATGTCAAGGATCACAGCAGGGCAAACAATTAGCTCAAACCCTGGCAGTATAACATAAAACATTATTATTTACGAACTACTTGGCAGTATTTTAAAATGTTTTTTCTTTTTTTGGCATATCAACTCGTACAATAAAGTATACCCCGCCTTTTCTTATATTTTGGAATTGTTCTTTGTGTAGTCGAGGCAAAAAATTGATTTAAATAAGCGTGACATGCGCATGACTTCTGCATTCGGCGCGCGCCGCCAAAAATCGAAAGCAAAACCCGTACGAGCCAAGGAAAAATGGTTCGACCCTACCGCGCACAGCCAACACAAACATGCACACGCACACCCACACACACCCCCACTCACATACACACACACACACACACACACACATATATATATATATATATATATATATATATATATATATATATATATATATATATACAGTCATATATACATATGTATATACAGTGCCGTAATGCTTTTCATTTCATTTCATTTTGCAATCTATTGTAACCTAAATAAAAAGTAAGTTGATTGACATCAACTATAAATAAACGAATGGTTTGAACTCCATTGAGATCAATCCATCAATCCATGTATTTAAATTGACTACACTCTATCTATTGTTCAGCTATTGTATATTTGAAAGGACTAGAATTTAAAACCTATTTAGATGACTTCACTTTAGTCGGGTCTTCTTTATTTGTTGAGAGAACCTTAATGCTGCTTAAAAAAAAAACTTGTTAACTTTAAATTAATTAGCAATAAAACCTTAAATATTCATATTCGTATGCCATAACTATTACTAAATACCACTAAGTATGCCGGTTGCAATATCTTTATCTTTGTGCCACAGCCATATCTAGGCTTTGCCATGTGCGGACAGAGTGTTCTATGGTGGAAGCAATACGCACAAACGTTCGGCCCATTTCTGGGTCTGTGCCGCATTTCCGTTCCGTATTGGAAAGACTTTCAATGCGTTTTGCTCGTAACATTTTCAACGTTTTATCAAAGGCGAGTCGCGCCAAGTCGTCTGGTTGCCATTTGAAATCAAAGTTTCTTTGGCGTTTCCCATTGTTTGCCATAGGTTTTTCTCTTTTATTCTCTCCTTCTTTCTATCTCTCTCTCTCTCGCTCTCTGTGTGTTTCTGTACCTCCCCCTCTATCTATAGAGCTTTCTGCATATCGCATATACGGCTGGGCATATCTTTTGTATGCACTCGTCGCATTCGAGAAGTTTTTTTAGACATTTTTTTTTTTTTACTTTATCGCAAACTTTGGCAACGCAGGAAAAGGCGCGTTGGCTTGGACTTTGCGTGGTGATCTTTCTTTTAATTATATATGTATACATTTACCCGATGTTTACATACGCATACGTATTCGCTTTGTATGCAATGCATGGAACAATGCTAAAATGACATTTCCTCAAAGGGTGGCGGGCTCTGTTCTTATCAGCTGTTTGGCATGCTGGTAGCTGCTGCAGGCTGCTACTGCCTCTATATAACTGTAGATAAGGCTCGGCTATAGCTGTACGTGATAATATTGTCTTATGTTAAAGCCAAAGAGCAAACTGCGCTCCGATTGCTGATTGTTGATAATAACAACAGCAACAGCGGCTGATGGCATCCTATATAAATGCCTTGTAATCTAATGTAAATGGTTAAAGAAAGGGTATATTAAAGTTGTGCAACAGGTTTACTACAAGAAAATGTATATTTCCTCGATATTTAATAATTAATAATATTTCTAATGCAATCAGTCGTGTTTATATCGAATTGAGTATTTTAGAGATCGAATAAATTGAATTATTTAATGTTTTTATAAAAATTTGTATAGATTTTTATTGTCATTATATGATATATACAGAAATAAATTTTAATGCAGCTTAAAGAGCCAAATGCAATATATTTAAATTATTTCCTATAATAATAATAGACCGAA